CGGACCGAGTAGTAATGGACCAATGGTTAAACTTGCTATAATATATTTTTTGTTCCCAAGTGTTAATTATGCGGTAGTGTTGACTTTTATGATCTGCTCACTGGCCAAGGGGGGTGCACGAGCGGTCTGTGTAATGTCTACGTTAAAAATAAGAAAATCACCACGCTTAAGCACTACTCTTCTCAAACCTACGTGAACAATAAATGAATAACATCATTTCCAGCTCTTTTAATTTTGAAATAATTCTTTTATTACATTGAATTACTTATACGCTAATATTATAAAAATTCTGTACAAAATCGTCTCTATGCTATTCAAAGCTTACTCATTTCCCAAGAAATAAAAGGCAAGAGCCTTTATCTTCGACAACGAAATCTTTCTAAAAATAATTAAAACATATTTTATTACAGAGCCAAGATTTTTAATGAAAAAAAAAAGAAATTCTCTTACCACGCAGGAAATCAAAACTGAAGGCTTTCTCCACTGGTCTTTGCATTTGGATATCGCAGTTCCGACGCAATTTTGAGTGACACCAGCAATCAAAAACTCGGCTAATTTTTTAACCATCATCAATATCTAGTAAATAAATTCGTGCAATTTAGATATTTTAATTTTATGGATAGTGATAATTTTATATGAATTTTAAAAAGAATCGCTTTACAAAGCCCCGTTGTTCAACGTCATCTTCGTCAAATTCGCGCTCGAGTAGATCATTATTATCGATATCTATCTCCAATTTATTTATAGGTTGCGATGTCACAGTGAGCGAACTATAAGTAATAAAACCAACTATTATGAGAAATTGGCAAGACCACATGTCGAACTTTCAATGATCCAGATGAAGAGCAGTAAAAAAATATATTAAATTAGAATTCAACGATTATTTTGATATTTATATGAATATTTTTATCACCTTCGCAACTGTTGGAAGTACAATATTTATTTTAAAAAAGACATGTGCAAGCGAGAACAAAAAATTATGCAACTAATAATAAATAAAATTATGCAACCAATCCTTGATAAAACAAATCACCTCGGCTTGTACACTGCAAGCTTGGAAATCACATATGAAAACATCTATAATTAATCGCAGTCTGCATGCTTTACACACTGTACGATCGACATTATAATTTTTGGCTCATTAATTCATGAATTTTTATGTTATCTTTACTTCTGTGTGCCGATGATAAGAAGGTAAACACAAGGTAAAGTCAATCGACATGGCAACTGCTGGCACTTTCTGCGTCAAAAAAAATCGTTGAAAAAAAAAACCTAGCGGGGGGGTGGATCGGTTCACGTACGAGCTCAATCGCTCGACTGCACATACCGCGTACGTCAAAAGTACATGAATTATTGGATATAAGTTGTTTCTGTTTTGCGGGGCATTACAAGAGCTCATGCTGCATGCTATTGTTGTATACACTAGGAAACTCTCGCGCGCTACACCCATTAGCTTCGAGGCGTGTTTCTCGCTCGTTTCTCTCGTAGAAATGGTATTTCTGAATTTTTTCAAGCTCCCTCTCTCTCTCTCTCTTTCTACGTCGTTCTTTGCGAAAGATCGTAAAATGAAGACGTTGAAAATGACGATAACTATTTCAGATATATATCAAATAGAAGCGTCCGTAACATCTCGCCATTTAGTCCTTTTCCGAGCTGCGACCGTACTCCCGTGATAAATCAAAAACGAGCAATCAGAAAAAAATCGATAACGGAGAAAAAAATGAACATCTCAATTGGATAGGCATTGGATGAAATTATCTACTGGGACTTTGGTTTACACGTGCAACCGATTACAGTATATAAACTTTCCTCGAGCCAGCGCCAAGCGCAAATAAACATCAATCTTGCACGCGCAACAAGTACGCGCCTTGTGATTTCTCTAATTATAAACATCGTAAAATTCAATACCTCTCCTAGTTATATCACATAAATGCACACACGCGTATACAGAGTAATATGTGGATCTCGCCGATGTTTACTCGAGAATATCTCTCGTTCTCAGTTTTGCAATCAAGCTAGAAATCTCGATATAATCTTTCGGAACAAGGAAAAATCCCTCCACAAAATTAAACGCTTACGATCAATATCCAATCAATACCTCATTAAATATCCAAAATTAAGCACTCCTACGAATCCATTTACGAATCGCAAGTGGTTATATATGTACACATATAGCCGAGGCGTCAGTGAAAGCGATTGAGAGCGAGAAGGAAATAGATGCGCGCGACACACTACAATGCACGAACAGCGTGTATGAAAAGGAAAATCGTCTGTTATTATGATTTACAGCGACCGGTGTATACTCGCGGAACTTGGGATTACAATTTTTTTGTTTGTTTTTATTTACTCTCTCGGTGCGCGGCTCATCTTTAATACCAGCAGCGTAGTCGCAGCAACTGCAGCGCGACGAATAACTGATGAGTTTACTAGTGTATGCGCGCGAGATCAGGATTTTTTCGTTACAGCTAGCAGGAGTAATTTATTTTTCTGACTCTCGCGAGATAATATCGTGCCGTTCGAGATTAGTATTTGTCATGGGATTACAAAAAAAATGAATAGCTATATATATAGTACAGATTCAGTGCCACAAATAGATTTATTTTTCACAATTTTAGATCTTCACCTTTCTGGGAAATGCTGCGCGTGATTTTAACCCCGTTAAATTAATTTCACATCAAATTGTCCCGATCGAAGACGAGCTAACAAAGCCCGAAGATGGAGGCAATGCAAGTGGCGTATGGACAATGAGCTTTAGCGGCGATTCATCCTGAAAGTGCGCGCCAGATATGCTCAGAAAGTCGAGGTCGCAATCAAGCTGCGTGGTATTTTTTTCACTAGGCGGCCGACCAAGTACTGACAATTTAATCACTCAAGCAGCAGTGGCAGCGACCCTTACGCGCGTGCATCGCGCAAGCCTCGCCGTGCATTCTCGTCTGTATGTGCGTGCCAGGCTGTATTGCTCTGTGTAAAGATGTACGCGTACATCGCACGACTTTTGACGCGTGAGTTTTGCGGCTATACGTACACACGTCGCTCGGCCGCATGCCGAGATTTAATTACACACGACGACGGTCTTCATTACCAACTGCAAATTGCTGTTTAAATATACACGTCCGTTTGCTCGGTCCGTTCCTTGGACACGTATGTTACGAGCGGAGGAAAAAATTATTGAAATCAACGCGTCAACTCGAACGTCATTAGCCGAAATTAATCGAGTCGGCGTAAAGTAGGCTAACATTCAAAAAGTCGGGCAACAACGGCCCGGGCAATTCTTGAATGTATAATACGAAAACGTATCAAGTGTGGAAGCTACGGCCAGACGTGCTGCTATATGCAGTCGTATACTGCAAGTCCGAGAACAATGCCATAAACGAGATGGCAAGTCAAGCGCGAGAGCCTAGGCACTTGGACGTACAACAAATAGGTTTACATGAGTCATAAAGCCATATAACAAGTCCCAAGTCCCGTGTAGGCAGCCTTAGCTAAGGTTGCTTGCAACTTGTATGTATCGTTTTTCTTTTTCTCTCTCTCTTTCTTATTTTCTTTCTCTACGTTTCGCTCAGAGAGGTAAAAACATTAGAAATACGAAAAAAGAAATAAGTATTGCTGCTTCTGTTACTACGTGGACATGACCGTGCAAGATGATGTGCTTAAATGTTCATGCATGATCATTTTTTCCATGCGTATATGTACAACGAATGAATTTGCAAAAATTAAATTATTATACCCTGCCGTTTAACATGATCATTTTATAATGCAAGGCGATCAACGCCTGGAACGTATATACTCTCTTGGCGCTTGGGCTTTCTCCGTTTATGCTCTGTGCAGCTATACCCGACAAACTTACACGCGTATTCACATGCGCAAGTGAGCGAGAAAGAGAGAGAGAGAGAAAGAGAAAGAAAAAAAGACATATAATCCAAACTCCAAAACCCGTTCACTACATGACGAACGCGATTGTTCCTTTGCCAATAACTCAATTCAGCTTCGAGGCATGTGTGCTATGTGAGTTTAACATCTATGTATGTGTGTGCGCGTGTGTGTGTGTGTGTGTGTTTGTGCATGCATTACATGCCCGTGACGTTATATTGAGAGATCGCGAGTCTATAACAGCGTCAGTTTGCATGTGGCACATCGCGAGCGCGAAAAAATCGCTCAACGATACTTTGAACCTTTCTTATAAAATCAGCCAGAGGCGTTGTGTGTTTTTTCAACGGCGTATATGTGCATGAACGCAGCGCCGGATCGGTCCGATTTTTTCGCGTTGACTACTTTATAATTTCTCCACTTGGTAATAGGTGCAGCAGCCAGGATTATCGCATGTGAACTCGCAACTCTTATCGATACAACGATACATCATATTATGTACGAGCTGCAAAAGACGAAAAAAGTTAATTTTTCCATGCCAGATCGTCCAAAAAGAAGCCAATTAATATTTGCGAGCGAAACACGAGAGGAAGGATTATCGAAGAAAAAATGTTTTTAAATATTTTTATGCGCATGCGAGCATGTGGCGGTGGCAATCTCTCGCGATACGGTTCAAAAAACTTATTTTTCATATCGGACAATTGCACGAAGCCAAGAGAGAGAGGCTCGAGTTCTCATGGTATCGCGATATCTCATCGATGACGGTGCACGCGAGGGAGACCGGGCACCTATTGATTTTATTAATGCCGATTCTGATCCTGCATGCGGCCGGCGCCGAGATGAATTTTTCTTTTTTTTTTCATACCTTTAAGTAGATTACTTGTGCCAAGAGCAATATTTATACGCTCGCTATTTTTATTTCTCACGAGCGTGACAGTTCGTGAATACATATTGCGTCAGAGCGCGACTTTATTGTTTCTTTCTTTTTACTTATTATCGTGAATGTATTTTTAAACTGCAATGGAAATACTATAAGACTCTGTAAAAGACAAAAAAATGTACAGTGTCGTTATATCAATTAAACAATAATTCCAAATCTTAACTGGTTTGTTTGAAAAATTCATGGGGAAAATTTTAATAATCTCGTTTGTTTTTTGTACAGCCTCGCAGTTGTTTTTCTCTTCAGACGCAGAGTCACATCCGCACGAAAAAGAGAGAATAGTTGGCGGTATAATAGCTAAAAAAAATGAATTTGCTTACGTTGTTGCACTACAAAGCGATGGTAAAACTATCTGCAGCGGTAGTATCATTGACAAAAAATCGATTCTGACGGCTGCCCACTGTCTGATGGACGAAGAGACTGGTCAGTTTTGGGACCTTTCCAAATTGACCGTCGTCGCGGGTACGAACAGAGTCGAGGGCCCTTTGATGGACAATTCGCCTGTGAAAGCATCGATAAACAAAGTTTTTATACCAAAAGAATATCAACCGATTGATCCAAAAACGAATACGCATAAAAGTAAAGAGGATATTTTGGCCGATATAGCAGTGATTCAAGTGAGTTTTGGATAATAATGATTTTTTTAATTAACAGTGATTTGCCAAAAAATGCTCTGCAGTTGAACCAGAATTTGTGGAAATTTTTGAAGCCCACAAAAATAAGCACTATCAAATTACCAAAATTCAATCCTCAAAAGCAATATAACGGCGAGGCAAAGGTAATAGGTTTTGGGGCGTGGGCAGCGTTACCGATTTTTTCATTTGACAATACATATAAATTTGAATTTAAAATCGATGGTCTGTTAAGACACGCTAACGTTGATTTATTGGACAAAGAAACATGCAATAAGCGATTAAACCCCCGCTCGACAAATACTCGAGTAATCTGTGGTAGAATCAAGCCGAACCCCGGTGATGAAGATGGTCCACTTCAACGAGGCACCTGTCAGGTAAATATTTTTATGTACGCATGAATAATTTAATTTTACAAAATTTTATTGCTTCGGATTATTAGGGGGACAGTGGTGGACCTTTGGTGAAGGGCAACACGGTGATCGGTGTAGCATCTTTTGGTTCAAAATACTGTGACGATAAAAAGCAGCCTTCGATTTATACCAAAGTTTCAGCCTACATACCTTTCATAATGAACGCCGTGAAAAATCTGGAAACTGTCAACATGAATGTGTGGCCGAAAAATCGGCCAAGCGTTTCCAAAGTCTGAGAAGACGAACAATGATGTAAACACGCTTTATACCGTCAGATGACCGAGCTCGGCTAAACAATAAAAGAAAGCTTCATGCCAATATGCGGCCCCGTAAATCGAGCATAAAAACCCCTCTCCCATCAACGATATAATATTCTCTTAAATTACACGTTCGATACATTTTGCCGAATGTGCATGCGTACAAAATCTTATGTATACGTCGTAACAATTTTTCGTGAAAGTCGACCTCACAGGCTCGTGCGAGGTACACGATAAGTACCGACATCGGCGGCGTCGGCAGCCTTTATGCATTTGATGCACAAAGGAGGCCTTTTATAATATTCCCACCCGTGAATAAATTTACATAGCCATCTGACATAATCTCGTCATTTTACTATTGCAGCTTCATCTCTTAGAATACCTGAAAATAAATTCGATTGAATGCTTTTGAACTATGTGAGAGCTTTTATGATTTATTGCGTGTTGTTTTTAAGGGTCTTCTCGAAGTGCCAATAATAACCCATTTTAATTTCATTGTACCTCTCGAAAGTGCGGAACCACTGCATGCTTTCAAAATGATGGAATCAGATCGTTTAATGTAGACTTAATCTTTCATGCCGTTTTAAGAGAAAATTAACGCCAACATCCCACAATTTGTATGTCACGTAATAATTAGTCGGGTAACACTTGGTAGATCGTAACAGTACAGGCGTAAATCATGCCAATCATCCCAAATAATAAGACATGATTTTGGCTAAAAATTATGCTTTGCCGAGGGTATTTGTAAGTTATTAATCAAATGTTTGATGTACAGTTTAGTGAAAAAAGAAAAAAAAAATATAACCCACGTGAGGCCCCGGGGAGATTCGAACTCCCGATCTCCTGTTTACTAGACAGGCGCTTTAACCAACTAAGCCACGGTGCCAGTGTTAGGGGAAGACGATAATACTAACTATATACCACTAAATCCTGTTTACGTATAAATCGACACAAAAAAAGTTGATTGCATTACTCATTTAACTATTTGAACAGACTTGAATGTTTATTTGATATTTTGCAATTGTATAATTTTTAGATAAAAATTGGACAAAGTGATATTTTTATATCGTTAAAACATCATCACAAGCGAGGAATGATAATTTTACATTGAATAAGCATTAAAAATGGATTATGAAAAATGCGAAATTAATCGCTTTCAGCGAGATGGTATAAAAGAGCAGCGGTTTCAGCAGAAGAGCAAATTTTGTGACAAGTTTGGCTATCTGAGCTGTATAAAATCCAGTTTTTTTGATACAGTTAAATTTTTTGACATGTTTTTTCGTTATTCACTCGTATTAGCCCTCGCAGTTTTGCTTTTGAGCGGGTTTGAAGCAAGAGCTGCCGCCATTGTAGATCCTGGACTCGACGATGTTGAGCAGCGAGGCTTAGTGAGTTGGAGAAATTTGAAAAAATTAAGGTATAAAAAGATGTTGATAATTAAATTTGAAATTTGAGCAGATAGGCGATATAGCCAAGTACGTGGTTGGAGGATATGTCACAGCAGCGGCCACAGGTTGCATTCAGCAAGTATCAAACGAGTGCCAACGTCATTACTTGAATCCTGATAGAGCCTTGAATTGTGCGGTACGTTTGTAAAACAAAAAATTAATAATTTTTCTAAAGCGGTAAAAGTATGATTGCGATGATAACGATTGAATTCCAGGTTGACTTTTTTTCGAAAAACAAAGGAAAGTGCTTGAGCGTCACCATTTCACCGTAAAACAATTACACGCGATGAAAGAAAAAAAGTATATCTTGTGCTATAAAAATGATATGTCTTGTGCTATATCGTATGTAGATGTGTAAAAAAATTGTAAACACAATAAAGATAATGGAATAAGCCAGGCAAACTGTATAAGAATTTCATCTACAGAGCGAGAGAGAGAGAGAGAGAGAGAGTAGCTCTCATCCCCGACGCGAAGCTCGTCTCGCGCAAAATTGCCCTCTAATTCCGTCGACGTCTCGCTGAAATTACGAGGCGCAGCGGTGGAGGTAGTACTATACGTAGTGAGGCTGCTTCGCTCGAGTGCGTAAACACACGTAGACACGTGTAAGTGATACGCAGCTCGGATCAAATGCGAGGCTTAGTCGCAAGAGACGACACGACTCGAGTACAACTGGCAAAGGCGCACGTAGGGCAGACATCGATTACGTAAGCTTGCCCAGCGTGTGGGCGCCACGCGCAGCGCATATTTGAGTCCTCCCGCTGTCCGCGCGTTGCGAATACATTTCAGCTGGACCTAATCATCGTAGATCGTCGCGATCACGGGCTCGAGCTCGACGTGCACACACACGTGCCCACGTGCGCAGCTGTAAACTCCAGCTCGAGTATCCTGTATATATGTTGTAGACAAGCGCACATGTAGTAGGTGTACGCATAATACGCCTTTTGCCTCGCGGAAGTAATAAGCTGAATTTTCTTCGCATATGCATATGTCCTTGTTGTATATAAAATCGCGCTACGGGGGCTGACGTGTGCGATTCCTAGCTGCCGACGATGAGCTCGATATAGTACACAGCAACTAAATTACCCTTTCCTTTGAATGTCGCTCCAATTGGCTTTTTGTCGTTTTGAGAAAATAGCATTGTTCCAGGAGTCGATCGCTACGGGCGATGGACTTTACCAACGCTACAACGCGTGACCGGTTCCAGCTGTAACGCAGCGATCATCGACGAGATCGCGTATCTCACGAGTTGTCTAGAAGCCAGCTAAAATTAACGTACGCACACACGGCTCCGGACATTTATTAAATCCAATTATCCACGGGCAGATTCGCTTTCGAATTTCTAAATTATAATAATGCGTACGTATGCTACACGAATATTCGCGCGCCCAGTCAAGCGTGAGCATATACTTGCTCAGAGCTTGCTACACGCGAGCAGACCGATACGATTAACGCGTGCTAGATTATTGTTAACTGCTGCTGGCGTGATTCCTTGCGCAGGAATCGAACATAGTCGAAGCTATTGCAAGTATATCGGTACGAGAAAAGCTGTCGAACTCGAGCCGACTTGTAATCTCATTAGCGCGTTCAGCTTCGGAAAGTGAATTAGCGAGTGGACGGAAGGAAAAACCCAGGTGAATCGGCACAATCGCGTTCGTACATATGCAGTATACCTGAAAAATAGGTGCCTCGAATTCCGCGACAGGCAAAAAAGTACAGTACGAGCAAAAATAAAAAAGAGTCCCGATCGGCACGTGTCGTCGTCGTCGTCGTCGCCGTTGTTGTTGTTGTTGTTGTAGTATTTGCTGCTGTTGCTTCGTTATCTGCGGCAGCTCGGCTAACATTATTATCTCGCGCAAACGAGCCTCGAAATATTCCAAAGGTACACGTATACATATCATGGCAGCGTCGGTCCGTATAATACGTAGCGGCGTAGTCGAGAAAAGAAGAAGAGGAGAAACCGGTCGATGGTAAATTTCGTCCACTACGCAATGTGTACGCGTGCGCCCAAGAGGCAAAAAACCGTTGCGCGTTTTCGATATACACACACACACGAGTTGGGCGACGAGAGCCGAACGACCGGGTTAAAGAGCACGGCCAAGTACAAGTAAAGGAATTATCGAGTCCGCGCGGGATGCAACAAGGGCCGAGAGCAGCGGTTCTTCCGGGTTGCATCGTGGCCTGTGCACGCACGCACGAGCATTAAAATGATGTAAGAGCTCGTGTAGCGAGGCAGCTCTTTTGTGCGCGCGTTCGATCGTTGTAATGGTCGATCGTCGCGGGGACGCTGCGTCGATTCAGGTGCGCGGCTCTCGTTGCGATCGCGAGTGCAACGCGATCCAATGCCCACATCCAGCTACACATATTTTATACCAGTGTAGAGAGATCGTATCTCGGGCCGATTTTTGTACTTGGCGCGGTTCGCAATATGCCACTCGAACGCCGCTTATTTTCCTGCCGGATTATAAAAAAATAAACGATTATTCGGGCCACTCGCGCTTTTTTCATCCAGTCGCGATTAATTTTGTTTGATCTTCGAGGGAGGCGCGCGACTTTTCGGAGATTTCAAGCAAAGATTTGAGAGTACGATCGAAGCTATATGGATGGCTGGCACGACGCGTGTATCTGTATCCGTCTTGACGCCCTATAACGTGGCTTCGATCGAGCGAAAGCATAAGCGACACGCGCGCGAGCGAGCAAGTTTCATCGGGCCATTGCGACACTTGAGTATAATGAGCGACAGGCCGAATTAAATTGCGACAACTATACACTGGCAGCTTCCCTCGCGCTAAAAGACTTTCTTTACTTAGCTCGTCTCGTCTCCCTCTCCCTCTCTCTCTCTCTCTCTTTCTGACTAGCTCTCTCGTTTTTCAGAATAACTGCATCTTTTCGAACGATTTTGCCGTTGGACTCGAACTCGAGGACTGAAATCGCGTCCGAGTTTCTAATAGGTGGCGCGGAATATCATCGTAGCTCGGCGTAAATGAGCAACGTGATAGAGAGATATGGCTGCGGTGCACGACGTGTTCAGGCGCAGCGAGACTTAGGATCTCGTTTGCGTTTGTTTAGGACTAAGTGCGTGTGCATACGAGTGCCTGCGAGGCGTCGTTTCTACATTGATCCAGCACCTCGCGTATCGTCTCTTTTCTCTGATCGGCTTCTCTCTGCATTACCGCACTGCTCCGATGATTTGAGCCTCAATTGAAACTTAACGTTCCTCGTAAAATCAATTTGTACGACTCGTAAGAATGCGCAGCTCGACTGACTTATTATTATTATTGCGCGGCCAAGCTGTAAAGCGGCCAGCAGCAAATCTATAGATATGGCCCGAGTCTAACGTAGAAGATATTTTGCCGTTTTTATGCCATTCATACGCCTAGGCAATTTGTGAAAATTCCCAACACGCGAATCTTACGTAAGTATTTTTCTCCATTCACGAGAGGGGGCAAAATATTTGTCTCGATTTGGATTCGCTACACGCGCTACGTGTCTAACAAATGGGCCAAAGTAAAGGAAAATTCGTTCTCGTAAATTGTCGCTCCGAACCGTTAGTACAGTTGGCGTTTCGAAATGTAGCGCGACGAATGCACACATTTTCCTCTTATACGTTTACGCAT